CTGTAAGTGGGTTTTCAAAACCAAAAGAGACTCACAAGGTAACATTGATCATTACAAAGCAAGGTTGGTTGCCAAGGGTTTTACGCAAGTGGAAGGAATCGACTACAGAGAAACATTTTCTCCTGTATCAAAGAAGGATTCATTCCGCATTATCATGGCATTAGTTGCACATTTTGATATGGAATTGCATCAAATGGATGTTAAAACTGCATTTCTCAATGGTGATCTTGACGAAGAGGTCTATATGAAGCAGCCTGAGGGATTCATTGCGAAAGGCAAAGAAAACTTGGTATGCAAGCTAAAGAAATCAATATATGGTTTAAAGCAAGCCTCACGACAGTGGTACTTGAAGTTCCATGAGGTGATCACATCATTTGGTTTCGATGAGAACATCATGGATGAATGCATATACCACAAGGTTAGTGGGAGCAATATCATATTTTTGATTTTATATGTCGATGACATATTACTTGCAACCAACGATCTGGGACTATTGCACGAGGTGAAACAGTTTCTGTTTAAGAACTTTGATATGAAAGATATGGGTGAGGCATCTTATGTCATTGGCATTAAGATCCATAGGGATAGGACTCAAGGTCTTTTAGGCCTGTCTCAAGAAACCTATATAAACAAAGTTCTTGAACGATTCCGGATGAAGAACTGTTCAACCAACGTGACTCCTTTAGAGAAAGGAGACAAATTCAGTCTAGATCAGTGTCCTAAAACCGAGCTCAAGAAAAAGCAAATGGAAAGGATCCCATATGCCTCAGCAGTAGGAAGTTTAATGTATGCACAGGTTTGCACTAGACCTGATATAGCTTTTGCTGTGGGCATGCTGGGAAGGTACCAAAGTAATCCTGGTGAGGCGCATTGGACAGCTGCAAAGAAAGTGTTTAGATACCTACAAGGGACTAAACACTACATGCTTACATATAAGAGGACAGAGAATCTAGAAGTGACTGGTTACTCAGACTCTGATTTGGGAGGATGTTTGGACACAAATAAGTCTACGACTGGTTATATCTTCCTACTAGCAAAAGGAGCCATATCATGGAAGAGTACAAAACAAACTCTAACAGCTCCTTCTACTGGTGATGCTGAGTACATTGCGTGTTTTGAGGCAAGTTCACAAGCAATCTGGATAAAGAATTTCATTGCTGGGCTTAAGATTGTTGATTCGATCTCTAGGCCGATCAGAATGTACTGTGATAACACCGCTGCAGTGGCCATAGCCAACAACAAGAGGAATAAGAGTCGAAGTAAGTTTGTCGAACTGAAATTCCTATGCTTGAAAGAAAGGGTTATGGATGGCCAAATTTCGGTTGAATACATCGGTACAAAGGAAATGCTAGCTGATCCTTTGACTAAAGGGTTGAAACTGAATGACTTTGTTTCACACGTACCTCACATGGGACTTCGTCCTCCAATTGATTAGTTGAGGTATGAGCAATGAAATTTATGGTTTGTCATCTCTTGTTATGATTGTATATACATTTGTGTTTTGAGGTTGATAAACATAAAGTAGGAACCGAACAAAATTGAGTTTGTTCATAAAGGTATACCCATTAAGTAAGGATGCTGCCTGTGATGCATGGAAGATAATACCCGACTTAAGGGGACTTGTCGCCATGATTCTTGCAGTATAGCCTTAGCTTACTGAGGCACGGCAATTGACATACGTATAAGGGCCAAGTGGGAGAATGTTAGATATTTTATTATAATTATTATTTAGATATATATTAGGAAATTAATAAAATACTCTGAGTGTGGCCCTTTTAGTCAAACAAAGCCCAAGCCCAGTAGGGTTAAGCTTTTCAGTCTATATATGTGTTGTTAACTCTCTGATGGTGAGACACACAACAATTGAGTTGACGGCTGAATATTTGTGAGCGAGTGAAATACCTATCTGCTCCCTTGAGGTTCCCTGACTGGTGACGGCTAATCCAGTTGCCATCACTGTGCCCTATTCCAGCCAGCAGAGACCTGAACAATTCTTTTCTTCTAACTGTTGTTCTCTTTTGCAGCTCTATTCCCTTATCTCAGATCCCGAGATAATTAAAGATAAGACAAATGACAAGAGGTACACAAAGATTCTTCCGCTGTATTATTTTATGAGAAAATTCACATCTCTTTATTGTTTTATTTATTTGTATTGTGAATCTGTCTTACATTTGGAAGATCTGATGCTTGTATCTATTGTTTTCTACCCCTTCTATAAATTGAAAAGCACATTGTTGTACTATAGTTCTTGCCGGCTCGTAGCTACCTTCAAAAGCTTGTTTGCATCTATTTTTCCATATGAGCCAGCAAGCAAGAGCAAACACTCTTTGCCATGGCCATCTTCCAAATTTATTGGAACCAGCTTCATTCCTTCCATTCCATTCTAGCCAATCCTACAAATTACCACTAACAAACATTGGTGTATATATTGGGTTAATCAACAAAAGTCAAACTCTTCTTGCATTCTCACAATCTTGCAGAGTATGTATAATAGATTCCTCACTATGACACTCAAAAGGGCACTCTATTTGGGGTGAGTTCGCTCATTTTGCTCTGATGGAGTTCGTAGGCTAGCTCTCTTGAAAAAACTGCCTCATGAAAAGCTTCACTTTCTCCGGTATTCCCCATTTCCAGAAGTTACACCAGTTTACATTCTGTTTTTGAGGTCCCCTCTCACATATTTTTTTACAAGATAATTTGATGCTGAAATTACTATCTGAGAAAAACCTCCAGTAGATCTTGTCCCCAGTTGTTTGATTGGGAGGTTGCATTGTGATGATTTTATTTACCACCCATCTCGACAAGAATTTGCTCCACTTCTCTACATCCCACTCACCGTTATTTGACTTAAAGTGATTCACCTTCGCTTTGGATGAGGAGATATTGATTCTTCTCCACTAAGTTAATCAGTGGTGTGTGCCCATCTCTCCTTCCAGGCATTTGTGTTCCCGCCGTTATTCAGCTTGCTACCTACACCTTCTAAAAAGCTGTCCCACACCTTAGTGATGGCCCTCCAAACATCAGACAGGGTGTGCTTCTTGCTAACTTTGGGATACTTCTCTTCACCACAGCCATATTTGTGCTTCAAACACCTCACCTAAAGCTGATTCGATTTTGTGAGCAGGCCCCATCATCGTTTCCAAATGAACGCCTCATTTTGGGCTTGCAAATCTTTTATTCCTAGACCACCTTGTTTTTTTCCTTCTTTAATTCTATCCCAAGCTATTAGATGAAGTTTTTTCCTTCTTGAGAGTGATTCCAGAAGAAGTTTCTACTAATTTTCTTGACTTCTTGTAGGATTCCTTTTGGTAGAAGGAGAGTTTGCATTTGGTAGGCCGGTAGGGAAGTCAAAACTAACTTGATGAGCACAGTTCTCCCTGCGATGCTCAGAAATTTTCCTTTCCAATTAGCCAGCTTCTTCGTTACTTTCTGAATGATTGGTGCAAACATCAATTTGACCGCTCTTTTGTGCAACAGAAGGACCCCCAAGTATTTCCCCAAATCTACTGTTAGATTGATTCCTAACGCTTGACTGAAACCGAGTCCCCGACTTGCATGGACATTTCAAGAGACAAAGACTTTGGACGTGAGCAAGTTAACTTTATGGCCAGATACCTCGTAGAAGAATTGCATAACCCTTCGAGTTTCCTCTATTTGTTCATGCAAAGCCTCTCCCAAGAGAATTAAGTCATCTGCAAAGAATATGTGAGATATCTTGGGCCCTCCCCGTTTCAATCTCACCGGTATCCATCGCCCGTTTTCCACTTCATAATCAATAAGTTGTCCTAGCTGTTCCATGCTGAGCACAAATAGATATGGGCTAAGTGGGTCGCCTTGCCTCACACCTCTTGAAGGTCTAAAAGGATCCGACAGTGTACCATTCCACGACACTTTCATAGCTGTTGTAGTAACACAACACATAAGTAGGTTCACCAAGTGGTCATTTAGTCCTAGAGACTACAAAGTAAATTTCAGGAAGCCCCAATCAAGCCTATCATAGGCTTTTTTTTCATGTCAACTTTGACTGCCACAATCCCTTTGCCTCTTTGCCTTCCCAATTTCTTTTAATAATGCATGACAGTTAATCTTCATCATTTTTTACTCACTTTTTAAAAATCACAAACATTTCATGTTTAACAACTTAAAATAAACAGAAGATGACAATTTCTTTTTAAAAACAAAAGCACCATCAGATTTTTCCTCATTGACTAACTACTTATCCAGTCATTTAAATACCCAATTCTATACTATTCACCTATTACAATCCACAGGTACTCACCAAGTTAGATGGAGGACATGAAAAATTTTAAAAGAAAACTTTACCTCACACACCAAGTGTCAGTAATGATGACGACGCAATGCCATAAGACAAAGTAACGATTTTTCATACTTTCACCAATACCAATAGTGACTTTGAGGGATGGCGGAGGAACGAAACTTCAGATTGATAATCGGCCATTGCATTTTTTCTCAGCTTACGGTGGTGGATAGTCTCCCTTTATTATTGTACTAACTCCAGTCTTAATTATAAAACTCAATTGACTAATTTGGAGAGACTAAGAAACTTAGTTAAGTTCGTTATTTGTAATGAATAGGTGTTATTTTTCCTAAAATATCCTTGCTAATCAAGTTTGTTATTTAAAACTACCATATCTTGGAAAAAAATGCATAAATATGAGAGATAAAGTGGATTGGAGTCTTATATTTAAGATCAAAATAAAAGTCAAATAAAATCTTATATTAAGAACTGGAGGTAGTATAACGGTGGATTTGAAAATGGCACCAACTTCTTCTCGCTTTTTTCAGCAAGTATTTCTTCTTTCTTTGCAGGGCATTTCTGTCTTTCCCTGTATCAATTAATTTCAATTTACCCCATAGAAGTCTAGTGCTATTTCACTTTGTTTTGGGGCATTTGAAAAATAACTTGCTACTGTGATCCTTAAGTGACATTTTCCCGAAAACCTTCACAATGCTTTGCGTTCAGTCTGCGGTTGGCAGCCAAGCGGAGCCTAATCCACTTCCAGTCTTCCACTCTCCAGCCTTCGGTCGGGTCTTCTGAGCTCTGTGTGTCATCTCTCGCAGTCTTCGTTGCCAACTAGCTTACTAGAATGACATAGGGCATTGCAGCGTTCTAACAACAAGTGGAGGGCCTCTCTTGAGCCAGAAGACAATCATTTAGCCTCTTCCAGTTTTACGACTATGATAGCTAAAGCCAATCTCATCTCCTGTAACTTCTCCACTTTACCATCTCTTGCTCTCAACAAACCAAAATCGAAAATTCCACTTCAAACCCACTATTCTCAACTCCGAATTCTTGCATTTAAATCAACAGCAGCATCGGTTAACGTATTCAAACCTCTTGATGTTAAAACCTCGCTATGTTCGTTTCAAAGTAAGAGTCGTCTCTTCATCTGTCAGAGTTCCTTGAACCGGCAGAATTTGGAAGATCCCGACTTGAGGAAAGAAAGTGAGCTTGGCGGGAATGGAAATGGCGGGGACGGAAGGGATTGGACGACGTCCATTTTGCTTTTCATGTTGTGGGGTGGACTCATATACTATGTTTCCTTTCTCGCTCCAAACCAAACCCCGGTAAATTTAACTGTAATTATGTTTGCTACTTACAATTACAATTACCCAGGTGTTTTGTACAATTACATGTTGGATGAAAATCTAGAAATTTCCGATGTCTTTAATGCGTATAATTCGAATACCAATTCTTTGTTACTCATTCTATCTTTTTGGGGAGCTTTAGTTATATAGGTATTTTTTAGAATCATTTATAAGATTTTTCGATGAGATATGTAGTTTAAATTCCAATTTCTCATGTTTATTGAATGTTGAGGTTTTATATCTCAAACTTATCTTTATCATTTCTCCCCCAGACACTGGATATGTACTTCTTGAAAAAGCTCCTGAACTTGATAGGAGATGACGGTTTTAGAATGAATGAAGTGATTGTATCATTGTGGTACGTAATGGGCTTGTGGCCCTTGGTGTATGCCATGATGCTGCTTCCTACGGGAAGAAGGTAACTCTATTTCTTTCTATCACTGATGAAGTTTGGGTATAATGCATCCATGTTCTTGTGCTCTGGCGAAACTTATTAGATAATTGGATGTTATATGATTTGTCTGATTCTATTTGTTGAATCCCTTTTCAAATGATGGATTTTTCGTCTGCTCACTTTTCTGTTCTAATTTTTTAGCAAAAAGAATACACTGGTAGCCACCAGTGGGTTTCAACTCCATATTCCTATTTCCTTTCTTGTTTAAGGGCAATTCAGTAAGATTTTCTCTTTTTATATTTATATTAAGTTTGCGCGCTACCATAAGCAGCAGTGGCACTTTAACAACAGATCTTATAATGTAGCAACTTCATCTGACAAGTGATACATCTTTTATTTCATATCTTTTCTATACTGTTCGACAATTCTGGAGCTGATTTAAGCTCTTAAATCTGTTGTTTTTGCAGCTCGAAAAGCAATATTCCTGTTTGGCCCTTCCTACTACTTTCATGTTTTGGTGGCGCATATGCTCTTCTCCCCTATTTTGTACTTTGGAAACCACCATCGCCTCGTGTTGAAGAAAGTGAGCTTAGAACCTTGCCATTGAATGTTCTGGAATCAAAAGTAACTGCTGGGGTGAGTGCAAATCTTCACTTGAGCTTGCAATCTAATTTATCCAGTGCGACAAGTGGGCATAGTTATAATCTGATTAATTGTGCCCATGGCTATGCATTCAGTTCCGGTTCCAGCCTAAGCCAAACCCACTCACCCAGTTGTTGTTGCATGCTTAATTTGGGTGAAGACATAATAGTTATGTTCAAAGAGCCCTTATATACATATAATGCAAGCCTCCGTGCTGCGTGGATGGGTGGTTTTGACCTAAAGCACTATTTATCATTCATTTAGAGACACACAACAAAATGCAAGATCATTCAATTGATGGTTAGTGTTTTGAGCAGATGACCTAGATGCCGCAACCTTCATCGTGACCCATATTCCACATTTTATGTCTAGATTGTTAACCTCTACATGACTAGAGGTGATGATAATAGGTTGCCCAAAAATAATCACAGTGTTGGTTTTTCTTGCTTCTATAGGGATACTTAAAGGGGAAATGAGCATCAAATTGTGGTCACAAATTTCCTGTTGCATGCTATAACAATTACAATTGTATGTTCTAAGTGAAAATTCTCAGGTGACCTACTGATCATGTCAAAAATATTCAACAGTTGTTAGTGCAACTAATCAATTGCCTTTGTTGAACCAAACAATCCACGCTGGCTTTGAGTAGTTTAAGTCTGAAAGCCTGGACATATGACCAGCATGCCCTTGTTAAGCACCAATGGTCTTTTGACGCACTTGTGATTTCAACTTATGGTTGAAAGATTGGCATGTTATACGGCACCATCATTTTAAAGTCTTGATTTTATTTTTGTTCTTGAGTATGTGACTTAACTCAATTACACTTCAGATCTTACTTGCTGCAGGACTAGCCATCATCGCATATGCGGGTTTAGCTGGTGGGGCACTCTGGAAAGAATTTTTTCAGTACTTCAGGGGAAGCAAATTTGTAAGTTTATGTTCTTTTTCTGTCAACAGAAATTAGCTTCCCTGCAACTAAGTATGAAATGGATAACGGTGGGTTATTTCCATAAATTACCATTTAACTCTATGGGTCAGTCACATTAATCACAGGACCTGCTGCCATGGGCTTCCCAATCTTTCAATGCTTGTTTCTTTGATTCATTCTAAAATCGTGCACTTTGATCAATGGTTACTAGTCTTTTGGAACCTGGTCATGATATGCCAAATTTATGGTTAAACTGAACACAGTTCATAATCAGTATATTTTCATTTGAAAATTTATGGTTACTAGCTTTTTGGAACCTGGTCATTATATGCCAAATTTATGGTTAAACTGAACGCAGTTCATAATCAGTATACTTTCATTTGAAAATTTTCGCTTCATTTATGTTTCAACATTCCTTTTAGTTTTTTAACTACAAGTAACACTGGGATTTCTTGTTGCAGATCCATATCATGTCCATTGATTTTATTCTGCTTTCTTCATTTGCTCCATTTTGGGTTTACAATGATATGACTGCTCGGAAATGGTATGTTGCTTTGCATGTTTTCATTTTTACATACCAAGAAGGCAATTAAAAGATGGTTTATCAAGCATAAGCATTAATGGTAGGTTCAATTTGCAGGTTTGACAAAGGTTCTTGGCTTCTTCCTCTGTCGCTGGTACCATTTCTGGGTCCTGCTTTATACGTTTTCCTTAGGCCGTCGCTGTCAGAAATCGCCAGTCCTACAGCTGAGGCAGAGTAAAGTCGACTTGTCACAAGTCTGTGTGGTTACTGCCAATGGAAGGGATTACTCATTTTTCATGCTGCAAGAATTGAAGATGATGGTGATTCTGTGAAGCATGATTCAGAAAAGCCAGTGTCTTTCTACACAGCACACAACAGAGTTCCAGCAGCTTACACCACCTGATGAGATTCAATGCTAATCTCTGATCAAATAGAAGCAGCGGGCTTGCCTGGTTTTGTTCAGTTCTTTGAGAATCAAATTGATCAAGTCAAGACCTCCTCTCGTAATCTTTTCATCATGATAGAGAATAAAACCAGAAGCAAGTCATATATAGATGAAGTGCAAGTTTTGCTTCTATGAAGAGCATTTTTCTCAAACCAAATTTACCCACTATCCCTAAAAGATAAAATATTTATTTTCTTCTATTTTTTAAAATTAGAACTTAATAGTTTCGACACGTGACTGTTGCATTTTTTTTTTATTATACATATGCATGAGCACGATTGGATTGTTGACAGAGCACGATGGTGTCGTGTGATTCATGTAGCCGACCCCACCTAGTGGGATAAGGCTTGTTGTTTGTTTTGTTATACATATGCATGAGGTTATAACTTCGGGAAAAGTAAATTATTGTGCATACACAGGAAAGGCTTAAAAAAAAAAATTATGTTGGATGATAAGGAAAATAAGCGCAAGAAAGAGGTCAACGTAAAGAAATTTCGAATTCAATATGTTAGTAGTTTAACAATGATACGTACATGCAATAACCCATCAAATAGTGCCATTGGTTTGATAAACTCAATGCCAGTTTTTAATATAAGAATTATTTTGACTTTAAATTTGGTCTTAAATATAACATTTTAATCTATTCTGTTTTTTATATTTATTTTTTTAAAGTAGTCTCTGTAGTAGTTGCACATGTTAAATATTCAATCAAATAGTAGTTTTAGCTAATACATGTGATTAGCAAGGGTATTTCAGAAAAGAAAATATTTATTTATTACAAATAACTAACCTAATTAATTTCTTTAATTTTTTTTTTGAGTTACAAGGGAGCGGGATCGAACCCGCATCACACACACACCCATGCACACATCCACGCCACTAGGCCAATAGGCCGGTGGTTAATTTTTTCAAATCAATTAACTAAGTCTCATATTAAGGATTGAATGTAGTACTATGGACAATTGAAAAGGAGAGCCGTGATCAGTAAACGAAACTCCAAGGGAATAGAATTACAAGATCCCTTTTGGGAATTACAATAACCATCAAATTAGGATAATGATTGATGATTGATTTGGATTCAGTTTTAAATATTTGATGTACAAGGATCAAACTGAAAATTAATAAATTACAGGGGACAAATGGATTTTTTTTTTCCAATTTTAAATATTTGTGTGATTGTGGCCCGTGTTTAGAGCTAAGCGTTTTTCTTCTGGGGACAACTTGAAATATATTGTATTTATTTTTGGATTGGAGTTAGCAAGATTGGGCTTCATTATTCCAGTTAATACCATGTATGTAGGTGAAATATAGAAATGCTCAAAACGGCATGAGTTTTATACCTTTATAAAATAATGGTTAAAGTATACCATTTTTGATCTTTTAATTTTATATAGGGCTTCATTTGGTCCTGTAACTTATTTTTAATTCTTTAAATTTAAAATCATTAATCTTAAATGATAATTTTTTATAACAATCATGTTTATTTTGAAAATTAAATTTAATATATTAACATTTGAGAATATTTTATTAATATGTAATATCTCAATAAATGATCTTATCCTAAATCCATTTTGGTCTTGAAATTATATAATTATCATCATTTTTTGTCATCTGTTTTAGGAATTAAAAGACTAAAAATAAGCTTTTTAAAATTAAGTGACTAAATTTAAAATGTTGCATAAAATTAAAAGACTAATAATATACTTTAGCATGAAATAAAAAAGGATAAACGTGCAATTTTATTTCTGATCTTATTTTTTCTGTGCATCTAGCATTCTTAATTTTTTAAAAGTGCAATTTTACCCATGATTTTTTTTATTGCAATATTACCCTTGATTTTATATTTTAGATGCACTAAAATAAAAATATCATGAATAAAATTGTATCACTAAAAAGATGAAGTGTTGGTTGCACTTTAGAAATAAGACTTAAGGGGTGTTTGGATAGAAACCAAACCATGGTTTCAGAAGTGCTTTTACGGATTACGAAGTAAATATGTGGAGGAGGTTATCTCGTTTTGCGGAAAAGTGATTCTGAAACCTAGGTTTTGGTTTTGCCAAACACCCCCTAAGTGTGAAATTGCATATTTACCCATCAAAGTATTAAATACTACTCCTTCCGATTTTTTTTTATAAGAGCTTAAAAATTGAATTGCTTTGGTCTTTTTTATAAAATTCCACTTCTAGTTATCTAAACAATTAATGTGTTTTTACTATTTTTTTCCTAATTAATTTTATTGATTGCATTAATTAAAATGTTTGCTACATTCCTTTTCATATTTTTTTCTTTTACTTGCCCTTTATAAATAAGGGCATGTTTGTAAAAAAAATAATTTTTTACATATTTATTACTTTTAACTTAAATCGTATAATTTAGTTATTAGATTTTTGTAAAAAAAGACCAGAAAGAGTATTAATTTTACGTATTTTTTCCTATTTGTTATCATAAGTAAGACTTTTTACCATCTACCCAGCATAAAGCATGTCTTAACGAAAATAAAATATATATTTGATGATTATTTAAAAATATCTCATTATATAATAAATTAAAAAAAAAAAGGTGATAACAAATATAAAATATAGTAAATGGGTGTGTGCTTTTTTTCTTTCCTCCCAAAAAACATCTTTGACCAAATTTTGGCCCAAAAAAAAAATCCTTGACCAAATATATGCTAAACATTGCTATTTAAGCAAATGCAATTTAAAAACAAATTATTTTCTTTGCAATCCCCACAATTCATATTCTCCCGCAGCATCGGCATCACTTCCCACCCCAGCGCCCAAAATAATAGACGTCTCTCCCCTTAAATCCTATAACGTGAGAACCAGAGCAGGTTCACCAATCGCAATCCGGCCGCGTCAAATCGGATCTCTCTGCTCTCAGCTCTCACCCTTATTCTTCCGTCGACCTTGATACTGTGCTCGGCCTCAGAATTTGAAATTTATCGCCTGTAAGTTTCTTTTTGTTGTTTTCATGTATTCATATGTAGTAGTTGTTGCTCTTTTAAGTGAAATTTCACTTTTATTATTCTGGAGTGTTCTGTTTTATCTTAATTCAGTGCAAAGTTGAAAATTTTACGTTCTGTTTGCATTTCACTTAAACGATATTTCTAGTTTATAAATGCATATTCCTGTCCATGCTTCAGAGTGTAGTCTCATTTGGAAAGTTATGCTGTCGCTTCATGTTATGCAAATTTCTTTTGGTAAAATAATACACGAAATTTTTATTGTACAGGCATTGGTATACTATACCTAATTAGGGAATGTTTTCTGGATTGAAATTCATCCCTCGTGATCAGATCAATAAGGTTAGCGTATTTCTGCCATAATCAGATGTTCATACACACACACACACATATATGTTTACGATCATGATAAGCTAGGCTGAACTGAAAACTTTCATTGTTATATCGGTGCTATGACAGGATGAGAACTTAGATTCTTCCTTGAAAGAGAGGAACAAATCTGATGCTAGAAAGAAAAAGAGTAAGAGTAAAAGGAAGAGCTCTAGATATGACTCTTCAGATGATGAGAGTCTTGAAAAGATCAAAAGGGCTTCTGGAAAGAAGAAGTGGTACTCCTCGGAAGAAGATTCTTCATCAAGTGAAAGTTCACAGGACAAAAAGAAGCGTAAGAAAAGGACACGAAAGAGAACTTATGATAATTGGTCTGATGACTCTGGAGAAAGGTCCAAAAGAAGATTAAGGTCGAGGAGCGGTAAAAAAGAATATACATCTGAAGAAGGTTCTTCATCAACTTTTGATGATAGTGATAGCTTTTTGGATGGACAAGCAAAGCCTAAAAAGACCCAAAGAAACGATGGGAGTCAAAAGAACAAGATAAAAGAGGAAGGTATAAATATTGCACCAAATTCATTAAGTGAGAAGGAGATCGCAAGAAAAGAAATGGGATTAGAGTGGATGCTTCGGTCTGAAAATAAGAGGCCTGCAGAACCAATTGAAAAAATAGCAGAGCAACCTTCAGTTGAGGAGGTATGTTTTAGTTGGAGAAAATTTTTCTAATTTCAGTCGTTAAAACACTGCTATATCCAATATAGTTGTAACGAAAGAAAGGATAATGCATGCATATAGATCTTTGATATCTTATTGGCTCTTAATAATTTTGTACTGTACATCTAGGACTCTTGACCTGATTTTGCTTGAGAAATTTTTGCTGTCTAATGATATTCCTCAGTGGAGGAGAGTTTTGGACCATTGATATCTTATTGGAAATTGATAACTATTGTGCTTGTCTACACTCTAACTGGCCTGTTTACTACCGTATGTTGTTGGCCCAAGTGATGTAGGAGTGAGTCATGTTTTATTTTCCGTTGTTGATGCTCCAATTAGAATGTGTTTCCATATTCTATCAGTCTGAAATGTGCCTTTGTTTTGAAATTTGTCTTAATCTTTCAACCCATATGGTAGACAGTGTTTGCTTTTTTCTTGTTTTTTTTATTCAAAGTAGACAGTGTTTGCTTACCATACGCTTTTCCTCCCATAGACAGAGACTGTGAATCCCAAGGAATTGAATCCATACCTGAGAGATGATGGAAGTGGTTACCCAGAAGATAGTGATGGGGTTAAAGCTGGTGCAGACCAACTCTTATCTTCTTCCCTTGTTGGGGATGGCGGAGCCAGCTGGAGACTTAAAGCATTGAAGCGGGCACAAGAGCAAGCAGCTCGAGAGGGACGAAGGCTGGAGGAGGTATTGTGTGCTGCCTCTCTTATATGCTTTGAGTCCATCTTTGAGATTTTTGCTCCTAATTACTTTTATGCATTTGAATAAGTATAGGTTGTGGGAGAAAGATGGGGTTCACTTGGTGGTTTGACTGCATCTTTGGCATCTCATGCAGCAGCCCCATCTCGTTCTCATTTGCGTGCCATTAAAAGCAGGAAGAGAGGACTGACCGAAGAAGAAACACTAGATTCAGATAATCATGGAAAGGACACTAAAAGGGTAAGTTGGATTTCATTGAGAAAAAAATTTTCTGTTGCTATATTTTTCCCCTTTTTTTTTTTTAATTTTTAATGAAATGAATCCAGTTTATTGATGAATTAACATTATATTTTATGAAATTCATTTGTCAATTCTTGTAGAGGTTACTGAATTTGCTTGATAAAATTCTGGCAGGATTACTTGAAGGACGTATCTGTCCGACACCGTGAAATGAGGGCGCCTAAAATTCGAGATTCTTTATCCTGGG